TGTCCCTGCTGCCGAGCAGCTAAACAGTTCACTGACATGGAAACAGGCTTAAGGTCTATCGCTGTCATCATGACCGGCAACTGCCAAGTCCTCAGAATCGATTCCAAAATACGCACCTTCCACATTGACGATTAGCAAAGAGTACGAACTTCCACAATTCAACAATAAAGTGGCATAAACCAACTCCTTGTTCGTTTCAAGATGAAGGAGAGTCATTTAACTCTAAAAAAACAACCCCAAAAAGATAGTATGCAAAGATAATTTGTTTGCTGGTTCGTTAACTATGGGCAGGCAAAAAAGGAACAAAACAGGGACTTACTTTCAAAGGCGCTGACTCCGTCTTGCAACTACAAAAACAAAAAGAAAGTGTAACAAAAGGTGGAGCAAGAGAGGACGACTAAGATAGCCATCAATCAGAATCACCACTAGCGCCAACATTCACGAAAACAAAAGCGCATGCAAACTCATTCCTAATGTTGTTTAAATTTAGCCTTTTATAGGCCACACATCCAATCCGCTTTTGACACATTGAACAAACCTGCTGAGCAGATGATACTTCTGCTTCATTGCAAATTGATAGCTCGTCACTGGTTTTGTCGACCATTGGCTCCCCCTCCCCTTCCTCCCCCTCTGCCTTCTCTGTCTCCTTCTCCTCCACCTTCTTTAAGGGCGACATTGCCTTCTTGTCAAGTGAAGTTGTGGGCAGTTCTCCGTACTTCCGCCAGTGCATCCGACACTTGGAGCAGATTTGAGTAACCTTGGAGAGGGTAGTAAGGAATTAATAAAGCTTTGTCACCAGTTGGTGGGTCAGTAATCAGCCAATTTTCCTCCCAGCATTGTAGGGAAGGGTCAAGATGTATCGTTGCTACAGTTAGCCTATTTCCCAACTACTTCCAATTAAATAAGTAGCATTCTGTGGAGGCAGTTCAATGATAAGACCAAAGACACTTACCATGGGCTTCTCTGCACCTGCTTGATGGTGCTTCGTGGGCATCGTCGGTGATTCCGATGGAAACTCGATAGGCTCAACACAGCAATTTCGACACAACCTCGTAAGTTCTGTAGATTCATCCGATGCCTTTAAAGTTTCCTCGCCTTCAGCAGTGACGTCCGTGGTAACTACAGTGGCATCCGCCGGCGAGGCAGCAAGATCGGTACGAGGTGCTGGAAGTGGAATGAAAAGATAGAACAAATTACTCGAATTAGTATTGTGCAAGAAGCAGAGCAGAAGGAGATGAACATAGAACCCACTTTCTACTCCAGTCTCTTCATTCTCTGACTCTGGAGGATTGTTGCTGTTGACAGCTGTTGCATCCGAGCAGTCTGTTAATAGGGTTGAAGAAGAACGATCACAAATGAATTAGCACAAGGGATGCATTGCTTCAACTAGAGACGCACCTATAATGGCTGTCTTGCGCTTCTTCCCAGCTGCGAAGCCCCGATTGAAGTTGGCTTCCACAGTGGAGCCTCGGAAGGGAGCGCCAGTATTTACGGCGGCTGCGGCAGCCGCAGCGGCAACAGCAGCAGCGTGAGCAGCTGCGGATGTGATATTGGAGGTGCTCTTCCGCTTCCAGTAGTAGTAAAAAGTCACCAGCTGTTTGACTGTTTTCTCTCTAGTCGGCCGAAACAAAGTTCGAGTTGGTCTACAAATTTCGCCGTCTCCATCCTTAACATCCTCTGCCTCCTCATCTTCTGGATCTTCATCATTACCCTCCATATTCTTCGCCTCGTCCTTTATGTCGCAACTCGGTTTTCCGTCGTCCTCCTCCTTTTTTATCATATCAGTATCAATGACCGCGGTTGTGATCTTAGAATCTGCTTGCACGTTACCCCGACGTTTTCGTCCGCGGGAGTTACGCGATGCCAATGCCTCAACGACTGCTCCACCTCCAATCCCAGTTATGGGATCCACCGCGGTGGTGGGAGAGAAGAAATCCTTGTGAATTGCATGAAAATTCTTGCCATGGACTTTTATGGCTGCATAGAATCGACGAACCTGCTCTGCCGTCCAATGCTGAGGTGTGTCCTGCAATTTCAAAATGTAATAGAAGGAAAAAGGTTAGAGAAAAAGAACAAGACACTAAAGACCTTCTACCGAGAGAAGTGGAAGGAGAATCCGGTGTGAATGGATAGGATTAGATCAGTGGAACAGTATAATGGAGCACTGAGAGCGTGTGATGCTTAAAAGGTCAGAATCGACGGTATTATTCAGCATTTACTCCTCCACCTTCGGATGTGACACTTTGGTTGACAAATAACACCCACTGAAACAGGATTTAAAATAGTCCTGGCAATATTTTGCAACCACCATCAGATAATGACAAAAAATCGATACAGGCGGAGACCACCGACGCTCCACCTACAAAGCGAGCCAATGTTGACAGTGGTTCAGGAAGGAATTGATCAT